AGAGGAGAGAGGAGAGAAAGAAATCAAGGATTAATTCAAGTTGCCATTTTCTGAGAGAGGAAAAACTGAAAGAGAAAGTGTGTGTTCGAGCTCAGTTTTCGATATGTGAAGTTTGAGACACCGATTAGAAACCCAGTCGAGATGCTAAGTAGCAGAGACAGCACGAGTGGACTTCCCGGCACGAACACTGAGGAGTAAACGCAGTCCTCTCCATCCACATAATGCAGCTCTGTGGCCCTTAAGACGACTGATGTCGACCTTATGGACTGACACAGAAAGGTGTCCAAGATCTATTACTGCATGAAAAGATGCATAATTTTCTGGAACAATTATTTATTGCTAATAACTTCAAAACCTCTAGGGGATAGGATATATACTTCTTTGATGGTTAATTTTATGTGTCAACCTGACAAGGCCACGGTACCCAGATGTTAGGTCAAACACTGAGATACATCATTGAAGATATTTTTAAACGAGATGAACACCGAAATCAGTAGATGAGAGTTTAGCAGATCACCCCCCATAGTGGGGTGGGCCTCATCTAACCCATTAAAGGCCTGAAGAGAAAAAGACAGATCTCCCCAAGCAAGGAGGGCTTCGGCCAGTGGACTGTCTCTGGACCTGAACTGCAAGGCTCCCCTGGGTCTCCAGCCTGCTGATCTACCCTGCAGGGTTTAGTCTTGCCAAGCCTCCACAACTGCCTGAGCCAATTCCTTAGATCTCTCCATCTTTCTCTTTCTCTCTACACATACGCACACATCTTGTTGATTCCGTTTCTCTGGAAAACCATGACTAATGCAACATCTTATGACATATATTTGAATTGTATTTAAAATTTTTTACAATAAGCATGTATTACCTTACTAATCAGAAAAACAAGAATAATCACAAAACTTAATTCCAATAATTAAAATATAGGTTACATTGACCAAGTGCCTATACATATATTTTATATACATAAATTATATATACATCTCTATAAACAATGAAGCATTCAGTAAACACATTTTTATTAACATCCTTCCTATCTCAATGGCTGCAAAACCTTTTTCACGCAAGCTCTCTTGCATGAAATACCTCTTGATATTCTTGCAGAATACCTTTGATGCTCTCAATAAACTCCCGAGTTACCTGAAATGCCCCAATATGCATTCATATCCTGAATGAGGTACTCAAAGGACATGAACAGACATTTCACAGATTAGAAATGATATCTGGTGAATGAATACATGGAGAAATATTCAAATACAATAGCAATAAACAGAAAAATGAAAATTTAAGTGTTTTTTTTTGGAGACAGGGTCTCACTTTGTCACACAGACTGGACTGCAGTGGCACGATCTTGGCTCACTGCAACCTCCGCCTCCTGGGTTCAGGTTCTTCTCCTGCCTCAGTCTTTTGAGTAGCTGGGATTACAGGCATCCACCACCACACCCAGCTAATTTTTGTATTTTTAGTACAGACAGGGTTTCACCATGTTGGTCAGGCTGGTCTCAAACTCCTGACCTTGTAATCCGCCTGCCTCAGCCTCCCAAAGTGCTGGGATTACAGGTGTGAGCCACCGCGCTCGGCCAAATAAGGTACCTTTTTAAACAAATTAGTTTGAAAATTATAGTAACTAATACTAATTATAAACTTGTAAGCAAAATAGTAATAATAAATTGAACCTCTTCAGCAGATCAAGTTTACTAATCTTGAAAATCATAACTCACACTAGGTGAGAGTACGAAGTTGTGTTCTAATACATGATGGGTGGTGTTCGAAAGAGACATAAAATAATTGGCAACATGTATAATAAGCCATAAAACTATTTATGACTTTGATTCTATTTGGGAGGAAATGTATCATACATGTTTAAAAATATCTTATCCACATTTGAAAGTAACTCCAGGCCGGGCACGGTGGCTCACACCTGTAATCCCGCACTTCGGGAGGCAGAGGTGTACGGATCACTTGAGGCCAGGAGTTCAAGGCCAGCCTGGCCAACATGGTGAAACCTCATCTTTAGAAAAAAACATACAAAAATCAGCCAAGCATGGTGGCGGGCCCCTGTAATCCCAGCTATTTGGGTGGCTGAGGCACGAGAATCGCTTGAACCCGGGAGACGGAGGTTGCAGTGAGCTGAGATTGCGCCACTACACTCCAGCCTGGGCAACACAGTGAGACTCTGTCTCAAAAAAGATAGTAATAATTCCAAACATTAAAATAAAGTGAAATATATGAAGTTGTTCCCTAGAATATCATTTGTAATGGCAAAAAAAATTAGAGGTAATTTAAATATCTACCAGTAATGAAACCAAGTTCAAACACATGAGCTACAACTAGTTGAACACTTTTTTCCTCTGTAAATTAAGAGAATAATGATTTCATACTTACCACTGTACCGAGAAACTGAATGCTCATGTTTCCACCTGCTTCTCGAGACAGACACTAAAAAACAAACAAGAGACATAGAATGAACTCATATCCACACAGCTTGCACGTAATGTTCACGATAGCCAAAAACCTCAAATGTCCATCAACTGATGAATGGGTAAACAAAATATAGTATAGCCATACAGTGGAATGTTATTTGGCCATAAAAAGGAATGCAGTACTGATACATGCTACAATAGAAGTCGGTCACAAAGGATCATGCATTATATGATTCCACTTAATAAGAGATGTCCAGAATAGTCAAATCCATGGAGATGGAAGGAAGATTGGTAGGTGCCTCCAGAAGGAGGGCTGGGAGGACATGGAGATGATTACTAATTGGTGTGGGGTTTCTCAAGGGTGTAAACACAGTCTAAAATTGCCTGTGGTCATGGTGGAACAACCCTGTGAATTGACTACAAACCACTGAACTGTAACTTTAAATGGGTGAATTGTACGGTGTGTGAATTCTATCTCAATAAAATAGTTATAGAAAATGAATTAGCATTTGTTTAAAATAACAACAATGCAATTCTATGTCCAGAGAGTAGTGAAAGAAATAACTTCTTTATTATTCATTTATTTATAAGTAAAATTTGTTTAAAGCAAATACATCACTTGCATATATCTTGTTTGAATTTTAATTAAAAGTAAATACTATGACTATTAAAAATTTAGTTAAAAGTAAATACTACTGCTACTAAAAATGGGTGACTAAGTAGTACACTGGAAGCAGACTACACTTTGAGATAATTCTCACCAATAAAACTGGTCTATTGGGCCAGGCACAGTGGCTCACGCCTGTAATTCCAGCACTCTGGGAGGCTGAGGCACACAGATCACGAGGTCAGGAATTCGAGACCAGCCTGGCCAATATGGTGAAACCCTGTCTTTACCAAAAATACAAAAATTAGCCAGGCATGGTGGCGCGCACCTGTAGTCCCAGCTACTCGGGAGGCCAAGGCAGAAGAATCACTTGAACCCAGGAGGCTGAGGTGAGGTTGTGGTGAGCCAGGATCGCACCACTG